ATTAATCCATAATATTCATAAAAATGAACAATCAATCAATCATCATAATAACTAATAACAATCAGCGGCCTAGCATCGAGTGTTAACACCCTAGCTTACCGTCATGCATCACATAAGATCCCTTTTAGTTGTTAAAATACCATCTTTATTCCAAGAAATCATCCTTTTATTAATCATAATGGTTTGGTATCAAAATATAAGATTCCATAACTCAAAAATCATATTTTCTAAATAACAATTGATTAATATATGATAGGAAATTCAATTATTAGCTATTAGCTTCATTTTCTTCAGTGTAGGGTGACAGTCTACTGTCACTTCTGATAATCTACTGTCTAATGTTCAGAATGGGCTGATAATCGATTATCCCACTCTGATAATCGATTATCAAACTTCAGAGAGGGTTGGCAATCGATTATCACATTCTGATAATCGACTGTTGCTCATCTTTGTTACAAAAATCTGCAGAACGATGAATAATCGATTTTCAAGTTGATAATCGATTATCCATCGTCTTCTACCTCAAGCCAACTTGCGGAAATGTCATTTTTACTCACCAAACTTCAATTAAAGTATATAAAAGTGTTCTCCAAGGTTCATAGATCATTTTGGCATCATTAATTCATAGTTTTAACATCAAAATCATGGTTTACGATTCTTAGTTCGTCAAACATGTCAAACACAAAACTCAACCAAATGAACGTTTATGAACGTAAAATCGATCTATTTTCCGGCGAAACTTCCGGCGACGATTAGTCCCAACTCCGGCGACCTCTCACTAAATTGATGGCACCACTGCATTCTCCTTACTTAGAGCAACAGAATAGGAAGAAGTTTTGTGAGAAATGGTGAAGAATTGAGTGAGTTGGGTTTTCTTATATAGAGTGGTGAGGAAGAAGAAGACGCAAGATGATGATGATTGATCGGCTAGTGCGTTCGGAGGCGCCGACTGAACAGTTCTCTGATTGGGACCAATTTTGGTTCCAGTCGGGGTACACTTTTTGGTCCAACTTTCTCTGAGTTGAAATCCGTTCGCACCGTTGCGATCAGACAGTCGAATTCTATTCAACGATATACTTTTCATAATTATTTGTAATACTTTTTCCGACATCATATTTTTGGGTGGTTGACTTTGACAGAGTCAAAATTGGTTTAATTGACCTTTCTCATAAAAGGTTCTCTCATTTAATTCACATCAATTATTCTCATGATTTATTTCAACAAATCATTTCAATATCTACATTCTAAACAAATTCTTTATTTACTCTTGATTTGGGTCTGTACTCAGGTTCCCAATCAAGACCACACAAATAGTCCACATATTGGATTTATCTCTATGAGACTTATCCAGATTTTGATATTAGATGTCAAAACAAATTTCATATCGGCCCAAAGCCCAACAATAATTTATTTTAATCAAAACAAATTTGATTAATTGAATTATTCATTAAAAATTTTAGGGTATGTTTTGGGGCGTTACATTTCTCCCCCCTTAAAAGGAATTTCGTCCTCGAAATTCTTCTTAGGTTCAACGTTCAACGTTTTGTAATGATCTCACTGATCATGACCGTTTCATATTCATATGGTTATGTCGCCATCTTTCGAATACGTATTCTCAAGTCATTGATTTCACCAAACTCGTTCAATCTTCGAGAGATTAGCAATTTTCGATTAAGTAAGGTCTTCACTGATCCTTTGATGACAAAAGTTCCTTCATAGTGTGTAGTATTGCATACTTGACATACATAACATCGTTCAGTTACGAGTCTTATCTGTACGTCCTTGGTTAACAGAATCAATTGAAAATTTCTTCAATGTTCTTGAATGGTCTTTGATAAGCATAATTGCAGTTTGTTTCAATTCATACGTCGTAATGTAGTCTTTCAATTACTCAAGGGGTCGTTGTCTTCAGGGCAGTAGCCATTTGACTTTTCATCTTGGATTTGAACGTATTTCAGGACAGCGAATCTAACTGTTCATGAGTCTCAATATGTCATATCATAAGCAGACTATAGCATTAACGAGCACGTCCTCATCTGTAGGTAAATCAAATCCATCTTTGCTGTACAAATTTTGACGGAGGATAACTACTTTTTTTTAAAGATCAGGTTTTCAGAGCCTATATATATCACGATTGTGGCCAGAGCATTTCACATTCTCACATTATGGAAGGAACATCTTGACCTTTTCCTTACACCATAAAATTCGTTGGTCTACTTGGTAGTCATTCTCTTGGTAGAAATCCAAAGTTCATGGCTACGGCGGTGGATTTAGGAAGGGAATTGGTAAGGCGAAAAATTAGACTTACCTATGGGGGAGGCAACGTTGGCCTTCAAGGAGCTGTTGCTTCAACAGTCTATACCAATGGTGGTATAGTTAGAGGCTTCATACCAGGGTACATAGCAGCACGACAGGTCTACGGACCTACGTATGGTGCAGAATACACAGTTTCAAGCCATTACTATAAGCATTTCGAGATGAATCATGTAGTGGAGGCCTTCATCGTACTTCCTGGAGGGATTGATACTATGGAAGGTTTGTTCACTTTGATCTCATGGGCATCTGAAGGGTTGCACAGTAAACCCATTGGTCTCTTGAATATTGACGGTTATTTTAATAACCTAATCAAATTTCTAGATGACGCAGTGAGACAGAACATCATGGCTTCTAGTCAGAGAAAACTTTTCATCTCTTCTTTCTTTATTGATGAGCTTTTAGACAAGCTAGCGTTTGCTAAAGCTTTTCCAGGTCCTGGGGCTAGTTATGATGAATTTGTAAATCCTGGGGCATTGGACTTAGACTTGCATTTGTAATATTACTTTATGTAATTTCAGTTGAATTTATGTTGGAATAATATTGTCCATGAACATTATGAGTTAACCATAA